GCTTCCCTTGAATTTGCCTTTTTTCTAAATTTGGCAGCATGGTGGAATTTTGCTACAAAGTTCAGGATATATGTGATCCTTATATGCTACTCTTAGTATGCTTGTTGAAAGGTCAAAGATCTAATATCCCTGTTCTTTGGGTTTCACCCTTGTTAAAAAAGATGAATTCTCACAAGCCAAAGGGCTTGTAAATGGGATCTACACGCATTTATCAAAGTTCAGTATGGGGGATAGAGATTTTTAGTTAAGTCACTTTTTCATACACCCTGCATGTTAATCTAGCAACTCGAATAATCATACTTAATGATGAACATACTTAGCTACGATTTGTTTCGAAACCCAAGAAGCCACGTAAAATAAATTTAAACAAATTAGAGGTGTCTAACTTGGTTTTGTAGGATGTGCATATGATGTGGTATAACCATCATTATATCGGTGAGAACATGTATGAGTTGTCTATATGTTATAATTTGGTCGGTATGTCATGGTATGACATGATAACTGGAACCTTATGATTGTCACTTTATGATCTGCGCGTCAACTTTTATGTAATGCCTTGATACTTAGTGCATACATATGGTAGTGCGAAGTTTTGCAAAGGTGGACCTTGACACAAAGGCCATATGTGAAGATGGAGGAGAAAAACTAAAATAACGGACCATGGTAGGAAAGTTATGCCATGACAACATTTTTTTTGCTATCACGAAAGCAGTATTTTGCAGAAATCTGTTTTTGCTAAAACTGCTAGCATGAATTTTTTTTAGAGGAGAGGCCTCAGCCCAACTTTAAATTAATAAATCCACACGACACCAAAGTAGCACAAATAAACTAAACCCACAATGCAGACCCAACGCCGCAAAGGTACCACAACAGTTCAAAGATAGGCCAAACCCACCACAAACCCATAAGGCAAAAGTGCAGACAATGGAAGGGCGAGACAACAACGACGACGGCTGGGAACACTAGCTAGGGCGGCTGCTGTACACCAGTACGAGGACCAACCATGATGTTTCTTGCCGAAGAACGTACGCGAGAAAGCAGAAGCTCCATGGCTGCCTTGTCGTCGTCTTTAATCAGAGATTTACACTATTGCAATAGGATATAGAATTTGAATAAACAGTCAACCGCCTTGTTAGGGAACACTTGTTCAATGGTAAACTCATTACTGGTCATCCACAGGGTCCAACACATGGCAGAAAACCCGAACTAAAGCAGCCTCCTAGTTTGGCCATCAAGGGGAGCTACATTGGATCGGAGTTCAGGAAAATTAAGCAAGGTCGAGGAGACCACCAACCACTCGCCGAGGCAGCTCCCGAAAAACTTGGCCAGGGAGCTACGGAAAAGAATGTGATATGTGTCCTCACGCTCACCAGTCACCACATACAACACAAAACTCCGAGCCCGGCCCGTTCTATTTCTTGATCTGATCATGGCCGGTAGACGGCCACACATGGCCTGCCACATGAAAATCTTAATCCCGGGCGGCACCCAGCTGCCCAAACAGGCTTGAACTTGTTAGCAACCGATCCCAGGGCGAGCACACGATAACAAGACTTAACAGAAAAGCGACCAGAGGCAGCATGCGACCAAGAGAACGCATCCTGAGACTCCGAGAGCGTAGGGAGGATGGCAACAAGGCGATGCCAATCCTCTAACTCTACGGGAGACAGGGCCCAGTGAAAGCCAAAGTCCCACTCCCTAGTCACGAGCTCCGCGATGGAGGCAGAAGGAGACGCAACATACTAAAATAAAGTAGATAAGGCCGCCGCAAGTGGCCCCTCCCCCACCCACCAGTCAAGCCAAATTCACCGAAGCACCATTACCTACACAAAATTTAACCAAGGCCCTGAATTCGTCTCTGACATTGAGCAATTGGCGCCAGAATTGGGACACCGCGGGAGATCCCGTCGACTTACAGAGAAGGGGGAAGATTTAGGGAAGTACCTAGCTTTAAGAATACGTAGCCACAACGCGTCTGGGGGGAGGAGAGCATGCGCCACCACCATTTCGAGATCATGCATCTGTTCATAAGGGAAGTGTTCAAGATGCCTAGCCCATAAAGATTCTTAGGTATGCACATGATATTCCACTTAACCATCCTATATTTCTTCTTATTATCGGCGGTGTTCCAGCAAAACCCACTCCTATGCTTATCGAAGCCTGCATGAGTGCCTTCAGGCAACTGGTAAAAGCCCATGAGAAACATAGACAGAGAAGATAAGCAGGCGTTGATAAGACAGACCCGAACCGTAGTAGAGTTGTAACGTCCCCTTCAAGGCATCACCCTATTCCCAACCTTAGAGATAGAGAAGGCAAAGTCTTTGGACAAAAGTTTGTAAGGGGAAATGGGCATCTCGAGATATTTGAAGGGGAAAGAGCCGAGAGAGCAGTTAAGGAGGGAAGTAACCCGCCTGGCCTCCTCCTTTAGAGCACCCAGAAACAACACCTCGCTTTTAGAAAAGTTAATCTTAATCCCAGACATTTCCTCAAAGCAAAGTAGGAGGAACTATAGGTAGCTAAGCATTGGTCCGAATTTTCCACAAGAATAATAGTATCATCCGCGTATTGTAAGTGTGTCACGCCGGACGGAATGTGGTGAGACACGATGGGGAGGATATGTCGGGCCGCCGCCGCCCGGTTCAAGATACAGGAAAAGGCATCGGCTACAAAGTTAAAAAGCAGGGGAGAGGCCAGGTCATCTTGGCAAAGGCCACAACCATTTTTGAAATAGTGACTGACAACCCCATTCACCGAGACCGTTGTGTGACCCCACAAGCCAACTGCATAAGCCGATGAACATAGGCCACCTCAAAACGTTAGCTAATAGAACATCTCGGAGAAATGACCAGCTCACCAAGTCATAGGCCTTCTCAAAGTCTAGCTTGAGAATCACAACGTTAGAATTCCTGACTTTCAGGTCATGAATAATTTCATGAAGACTAAGAAACCCGTCTAGAATGAAGCGTCCTTTGATGAAAGCCGATTGCTACTGCCCTATGACCTTAGGGCAATAGGGGAGAGACGCGTGGCGAAACCCTTAGAGGGGAATTTAGCAATATTGTTGATTAGGGCAATAGGTCTGACCTGTTTGATAGAATCTGCCCCTTTGACTTTGGGGAGCAAAGAAATGACAACATAATTTAACCTAGAGATATCCACCGTACCCAGACAAAAGCCCTCCACAACCACATAGACCAGATGTTTAAGAACTGGCCAGAATTTTTGGCTAAAACTGCGCGAAGACAATGCAGTCTTCTCCGATTGAAGGGGCTATGCCATATCCCACTTTTATGAACTGTCTAAGATGTTTATCCCTTTTATTTACACCCTTTTTTATTGCAAGGTAGTGATGATTAATGCCCGCGGACACGTTTGGATGTGTCCGTGGACAAGGATAAGTGCAGACACCATCCAACCGCACGCACCAAATTTTGACAAAATATATCTAGATCAATAGCAATTAAATCATACATTTACACCACAAAAGATGTTTAACAATCTAAAAGATGTTCAACAAGTTTTTAAATTTTTCAATCCCAAAAGGAGTCCTCATCTTAAGTTTTCTCTCCTCGAGCTTGATGAACTTCTTCATAGGCCCTGATTAATTCAATCGCTATGTCTATTGAGCTTCATCCAGTAATGTATCATTATGAAGGGCTTCTGGACTACACAATAACATGATCAACTGGTTGTAACACTGAGCAAATCAATGAAATATGTTTGTGTCCGGTTTGCAACAAAACAAATGTGTGAACGCGTCTGTGGACAAATAGGGGGCCAGGTTGGATGGCAAACTACATGCAAACATCTCGATCTGGACGTCTGCATGCTATTTGAGAGTCCGCGTTGGAGATGCCCCGAGGAACAAAAGCCATTGAATGAGTTTCATTTAGCTGCCTCACACATCACCGGTTGACGGAGGGCGAAATCTGCAACGAGTTTGCGAGCAAGATGGTCATGGCGCCTATGGTCGTTGAGGACCCGAACTTCGTTGACCAGCAGTGGGCGCTCTACGAGGCTGTGCGTAGCACTCGCGTCAGCTACAACGCAATCACGATGGAGACAAACGCGAAGGCGGCGCAGACGATCGCGGACGAGAACATGGTTGGCTACGTTGGTAGCTCCGCGTCGTTCGCAGCGCCCGCATTGTTCGCGTCGGGCCGCAACAACCACGAGGCCACCCTGTCCACGTCGATCGTGGATCTCACCTCGATCGTCGACGTCCATAGCTAGGCAGCGGGCTCCGACGAGGAAGAGTAGGATATGAGAGACAGATGTGGGCTGCCGGATATAGAGAAGAAAAGTACGTGCAACACGGATGCCTCCACGGCTGACGAAGATTTAGACTAGGTTGACTTTTGTTATATAAATAAACTATCATGACCGCTTTTGTTTTATGAAATATGTCAAAAATGTAATGATTGTTTTTTAAAGAAAAAAATGTCATGAATTTGATCCGATTTAAATGACAATCATCTAGTTTGTATGAAATTTGTCTGGTTTGTTCATATTCAGTTTGAAATATGTCAGAATGTTTGATAAATAATAAGGTTTGATGGTTGGCTCGGCTCCTATATCAGTGTCCACAAACACACCGAAACTAAACACACCCGCGTCTATACCTTGGCATATGTCAGGCCGGGCCGTAAAAAGCCCGGTGCTGAAAACCCAGGCCCGAGTCCGGCCCAGCCATTGGACCTAATAAATCAGGCCCAAGCCTGACATGACCCTGTCTGCCCGGCCCGGCTACGGCTAAAATCTGTTTTTTATGAGCCTGGCCCGGTCTGCCTGGCTCAATTTCCAAGCCCGAGCCCGGCCCGATGACACAATCAGGCCCGCCACCCGCCCTTTTGGCTTAAACCCAAAGCCATCGCCAACCGAGAGCAGCAGCAACTGAACTAAACACACCACAGTGCCCGCCGCGGCCCTATCCTAGATCCTACCTGCCCGTACGTTTCTTGTTCCACGGCCGAATATCGCAGGACGTACACTCACTCGCCATGGTGGCCGGGCGTGTCAAGGCGGCCATGGGCTTCCACAGCAGCCCCAGGGCGCCCAAATCGCCGGCGCCGGCGACGACGGCCCCCGCTGAGGGGTATGCACACACGCCGGCCCGGGTTCCCTCCTCGTCAACGTCATCGCCTGCCCCGTGCGGCTCGGCGTCGAAGGCGTCCGCGTTCGCGCGGTCCTTTGGCGCTTACTTCCCGCGCTCGTCGGCGCAGGTGCAGCCCGCGCGCGCGCCGCCGGAAGTCGCCGGGCTGCTGCGCGCCATCGAGCAGCTCCAGGAGAGGGAGTCGCGCCTCCGCGTCGAGTTGCTTGAGCAGAAGATACTCAGGGAGACCGTTGCTATCGTCCCTTACTTAGAGGCCGAGCTCGCGGCGAAGAGCAGCGAGCTCGAGAGGTACAAGGAGTCCGCCGCGCGGCTCGAGTCCGAGAACATGCGGCTGTGCGCTGAGCTGGACGCTGCGGCGCTGGAGGTTACGAGCAGAAAGCAGAGGATTGTTCAAGTGGAGAAGGAAATGGCAGAGCTGAGGAAGCAGCACGACGCTGATGACTGCTGCTCGTCGTCGGCTTCGGTCTCAGCAGAGCACTTGTCGGTCCCGTTGCACGCCTCAGCACCGAGCTCTTCGTCATCCTCGTCCACGTCGACTTCACCGACGGATTCAGGCTCGTCGTCAGACACGGCGGCCATGCCAAGAACCCGCGTGCCGGAGCTGTCGAAGCTGCCGCCGATACCTCCGCCACCGCCACCGCCACCGCGGCCTCAGCTGACGCCGGCACCCAGCCTGAGCGTGAGCTCAGGCTCAATGGGCCTGTTCGGAAGCGCAGGCGCGCCACCTCCTCCGCCCCCGCCCCCGCCCCCACCGTCCAAGAGGACATGTTCGCCGGTGAGATCGGGTTCATGCGTGAGGCGCGTGCCTGAGGTGGTGGAGTTCTACCACTCACTGATGCGGAGGGAGTCCAAGAGGGACGGAGGGAGCGGTGCCGACGCAGCGAGCGGTGGCGGCGCGGCGGCGACCAGGGACATGATCGGCGAAATCGAGAACCGGTCGGCTCACCTCCTCGCGGTACGTAATACTAGTACCGAGATTTTCAATTTTCTTAAGCTGGAATCATTGGAGGGAGCGTTCTATTAACCTGTGGTAACTTCTAAGAACCTCTTTTTGACATCACAACTGACTGAACTATTTTTTTTTTTTGCGGGAACTGAACTATTCATATTTTATTTTATTTTTGCGGGGAAAACTGAACTATTCATATTGGAGCTGCTGCTGAACAATCATACGCTATTCGATAGAAAGTTGCGTACGTGCATTAATGCATTTTTTAAGGGAGCGTACATAAGCAGTACTGGTTTCGTCTTTTCGGTTGGTATAGCAAAGGGTACAAGTGATTTTCGGCCGGTATAGTAAAGACTGCTTTGGACATGGACGTTAATTCCTGGGGAAAACTGCAAGTGCCACACTTCGGGGCTGTTTGGTTTCCAGCCATAATTTGCCAAGCCAAAATTTAGCAGCCATAGTTTGCCAAGCATGTGTTTGGTTTTTGCCCACTTTGGCTTGCCACACTTTATTGCCTCTATGGCCCATTTGTTAAAGAGACATTTTTTTGCCAACTTTTGTCAAAGTTTGGCGTCCAATTTCTTAGCCACATTTGTGTGGCTTGCCATACTTGTGTGGCTAGCCACAGTTTGGTTTGGCCACACTAGTCTCCAACCAAACAAACCTTTCAACCGCAGCATGTACTTCTCCTTCAGAAAAGCGAAAAAATTCGTTTTTTTGCGTTTTCGAATTATGGATGCCACCCATTCCTTA